AATGTATGACATTGTCGACTTCAGACCATATGAAACGAAAGTTCAACTCATGGAGAAAGTTCGGCTGAATAAGAAACAAGTAAAGTGCAAGACATATGTGCTTGCGGCATAACACGGTCACGTTGTCTTACGTACGCCAGTCAGACGTTGTGAGCTCAACCCTGTTGAGCATATCTTGGCTAACTGTACAGGGTTCGTGGCAAGACAACACAACATTTAAACTCACACATGTCAAAGGGAGGTTCAACGCAGTATCTGCTAGCTATCAGTCAGGAAGGCACGTCGGCTGGCGAGCTGGTGTGGTGATTGAAGCTGGTCCTTACTGTTTTACCCCTAGGGGGGTGGGTTTTGGCTGGGTGGGAGGGGGTGATAAAAGAATAATAATAATATGGGGGGGGGGGGGGGAGGGGGTCAGGCGTGGGAAGGCACGGCGTCGGCTGGCGAGCAAGGGTGGTGGTGGAAGCTGGAGCTTACTGTTTCTCCCCAGCCAGGAGCCTCCTGTCTAGGTCAAGCTCCCCTGGAGGGAGAGCTTGGAACAGTGCGGTGGTGAGGCGGGCGGCGGCTTTGGTGATGAAGAGGGGGCTGACTTGAAGATCGCAGTCGACCAGGAAATCCGAGAGATCCTGGTAGCTGTGGATTTCATGTTCAAATCTCTCTTCTCCCCAGTACTGCATCATCACCATGGGTGGGCGTGGGCGGTTGCTGGGGTAGACCTTGCCGCTCTCATGCTGGTAGCAGGGTTAGGGTGGACCTTGTGCTGCTCCAGGATGAGGGGTGGTGGGTAGGCTCTCCTGGATCTCCATGGCGGCGACTGGTGGAGCCTTCTTCACTGTGGGCGGCCTGGCCTTCTGTACCGGGCGTGGTGCAGCAGGGATAGGGGCCGGGGTGGTTTTCTCCCTAGGCTTGGTCTTGGCCGGAGCTTTGACCAGAGGCCTTTTCCTTTGACCTAAGTCAAAGGAGATGGAGAGGGTGGAGGAGTTGGACTTATAGGAAGTCCTGAGGGAGTAGTCCCCAACCCTGTAAGCCAGCAAGGGCTCCAGGATGGCAACTAGCTCCCTCGGTAGCGACAGAGCGATGTCTCTCATAGTTGAGCGTGGGTAGCGAGCTTGGAAGGACACGTCTGCACGGGGCGAGTGTCCAAGCAGAGATGGGTACACATCCCGTTTCATAGCTTTTAACTATTCCATCATTTATCCAAGCAATTATAATCCAGTACATATCCTTAATTGCTACCCCCATCAACGCACATGTCAATTAAGAACAATAACAGCAATATTTTGAGACCACCCCAAACTCGGGTGACATTTGCACCTGTGAGAATGCACGGGCCGGTGTGATGTCATCACCTCAGGTTATAGGCTGTTTCATACATGCATGACACAAATATTAGATTAGGTCAATTTGCGTTACTTTGATAAATGCTATTTTCATGACTCGTATTTATTAAATGAAACCAAAATTTTCTAACATTTCCGACAGTACTTTTTTTTAAATCAACATTTTGTAAAGTGATAGATTACACAATGCAAAGTTGCGGTTAACTACAATATTATAAGTTTGTTTGGTTTATTTGTTGTTTAACGCCGCACTCAGCAATATTCCAGCCACATGTATGACGGCAGTCTTTAAAGATCAATTCTAACCCGGGTCATCACGGTATGTCGCGATAGGGAAGTACCTGTAGCTGACGTGGTGTAAGGGAGACAACTCAAGAAACAGTAGCTACCTACAGGCGTTACACCACACCCTGACTGTGTCAAGTCCCATGAGATGCAGATAGGTCGCGATTCAGAATTATCTGTATCTGATTGTCTCCGAGACCATGTAAACCCCTGTTGGTTGACCATATACATGTATGTGTGTGGCAGACACCGCTTTCAGTTTGTTTGTTTGTTGTTTAACGCCGCATTCAGCAATATTCCAGCTACGTGGCGGCGACAATAAATAATCGAGTCTGGACCAGAGTGAGTGAGTGAGTATGGTTTTACGCCGCTTTTAGCAATATTCCAGCAATATAACGGCGGGGGACACCAAAAATGGGCTTCACACATTGTACCCATGTCGGGAATCGAACCCGGGTCTTCGGCGTGACGATCGAACGCTCTAACCACTAGGCTACCCGACCGCCCCTCTGGGCGTATTAGATTCCAGTGATCGTTTGTTCTAATCTCAGTGTCACCTTGATACTGTTCCTAGCTTTGTCCACATCTTACTCGTGCTCGTAGTAAGTGGTAAAGGTCTTTAGACCTGCATCACTTTGAGATTCCAGATTATCAGGGGCGGTCGGGTAGACTAGTAGTTAAAGCGTTTGCTCGTCACGCCGAAGACCCGGGTTCGATTCCCGGCATGGGTACAATGTGTGAAGCCCTTTTCTGGTGTTCCCCGCCGTGAAATTGCTGGAATATTGCTAAAAGCGGCGTAAAACCATACTCGCTCATTCCAGATTATCAAGCTGACACTGAACTAGATCCAAAGCGGCGTTAAACCTACCTCACCCCAATTCTATTTAAATGTCAAATTCATCGATATGTAAGGTTTATCTAACCATTATGCTATACACTAGAAAACCATTCTTTAAATGTGGCTAGGCTCAGGCCGATTGGCTGTACTGGCATATGTGTTCAAGTTATTTAAGAGCCACAATGTCTGTCTGCTAACTGACCAATCTAGCATATTTACTCCGATTATACAGACACGATATCTCAGCATTATACAACGTCTAGACCTAGACTTGAAATAAGAATATCGTTAAGTACAGTTCCTCCTTGATGGTGGAGTAAATAGGCCATACTAGACAGTGGTGGAGGTAAATAGGCCATATTAGACAGTGGTGGAGGTAAATAGGCCATATTAGACAGTGGTGGAGGTAAATAGGCCATATTAGACAGTGGTGGAGGCAAATAGGCCATATTAGACAGTGGTGGAGGTAAATAGGCCATATTAGACAGTGGTGGAGGTAAATAGGCCATATTAGACAGTTTGTTTTGGGGGTGTTTCTTCTATTGTTTCTGGTCAACCTTTCCTCAGATTCATGAAGACATTTCCTAGATCTAGGTCTTCAGCAACCCATGTTTGCAGTAAAAGGCGACTAACGGTATCGGGTGGTCAGGCTCGCTGACGTGGTTCATGCATGTCATCGCATCCCAATTGCGTGGATCGATGCTCATGATGTACATTTCTGGATTGTCTGGTCCAGACTCGATTATTTACAGACCGCCGTCATATAGCTGGAATATTGCTGAGTGCTGAGTACGACAAGCATAGTCACCTTTTACGGCAAGCTTGGGTTGCTGAAGATCTATTCTACCCCGGATCTTCACGGGTCCATTGTATTGCCTTTTGTGATTGTAAACCTAAAACTGCGTGTTTCAATATAATTTGTTAAATTTTCATTCATCTTGTGTGGTCTTTTACTGATATCACAATTGCCCCGTGCAAAACTATGAGGATAGATTGCACACTGGCAAATTTAGCACTAAAATTGTTTTCAGAGATTTCTTATGAATATAGAGAGGGTTTGGGCGATTTTATTTACAAATGTAGAAGTTTCAGCGAATTTAATTCAGATCCTGGCGAGCCCCCAATTTCTGTTTCGATGTGGTTTCCTTTATGATCGCAATGAATAACCCAGAACTAAATATTGAAATCAGTAAATGACCACACAGATCAATGAATGATGAAACATCGCACGTCACCTGGCGTATATTGTGTAGCATCGTAGCGATCATGCCATATGCATCAGTGCCTGGGCTGTCTGGTCCAGATTCCATTATTTACAGACCACCACGTGATACGGATGCAAATATTGCTTGCTGCGTTGTAAAACAACAACCAGTCGTTCACCCCAACAAGAAATAACATTGACAAAGGATGGCTTGGAGGATCTGAAAACACATCTTCCCGGGGCAAGGGAATGGAAACTGGATTTTTATATTCAGTTAACCTCCTTGACTCGGGAAGATGATCTGAACATGAAAAAAAAAAAAAAAATTAAATGGCATTTGATAAGATGCCTCGCCTTTGCCCTGCTTGTCGCATCATTTGCCAAATGATATTTATAATTCCCAAAAAGTTATAACCCCAAATACTAAATTTGTACTTCACTGGGCACAAAAAGGGGATACCTTGCTCAAGTCGCCCTGTATACAATGGTGTGAAGCCCATTTCTGGTGTCCCCCGCCGTGATATTGCTGGAATATTGCTAAAAACGGCGTAAAACCATACTCACTCACTCACTGTATACAATGATACTCCTCATTTGTACATTATCCTGACTAAATCACATGAAGCGTCATAAAATCTCCTCCTTGCCTCTGTCAGGTCCCGTCCGACGTCTGACAAGGAAGCTTGTACAAGCAGGACAAGGACACTGCTGGGTCACACGAAGCGATATTAGTCTTACGTACGGCTTTCGTAACCTTAACATAGAAAATCTTTCTTTAATGTCGTCTATGTTTCTCAAAAAGTGAGCATTTAGCCATTACAAGTCAAGCAAGTTAGAAGTGAGTGAGTGAGTGAGGATGGTTTTACGCCGCTTTAGAATATCACGGCGGGCTTCACACATTGTACCCATGTCGGGAATTGAACCCGGGTCTTCGGCGTGAGGAGCGAACGCTTTAACCACTAGGCTACCCGACCGCGCCCAAGCAAGTAAGAAACTAATGCTAGTCACAAATATTCCAATAAACTAAATAAGGTGTCCCTATATAAAACGTAATGGAAACTCCTAAGTTCTGCACGTTGTGTTATGTACATCTGTGCATGTACTTTCATACTGGTGTTTTCGTTTCAAATAAACAGGAGATATATTACTTTTCTTGTCAATAACAGGTTAAATTTCCTCATCTAATGACCTGACAAAATTGATATTTCCATGTGGCACAGCCACGATTGTTATGCTGGTCACAAGGGATGTGGGATAAACATATTATTTGACAAGAAAAGACAATTTGACTTTTAATTACTTATTTACTATTTGCCAGCATTAACATAGACCAAGGTATCATCTACGGTTCATTCTCATGACGACGACCCCCTGTGTCGTATGAAGACAAACTAGCAAAAAGTGAGGTCGTCGTCCTACGAATATTTTAATCCGTCAATCTAGTTAAACAATGGGTATCGAGTGTCATCAGGTGGTGATTGGTGCGAGGGCCGTCGTTGTTGAAATGGTTCAAAGGCTCCAAAGCTTGAAATCAGAATTCACCAATTCAGTGAACACATTTCAGTTTTCGTGTACATATTTCAGTTTTTGACACTAACCAAAGAGTTAATCCCCTCCTAAAACAACACCACACATCAAAGGCGTACCGGCGGTCGTCGTCCTGCGAATGGAAAAATTCGAGGGGTCGTCGTCATGCGAATACCCCCCCTCATCTACCTCCCCAGCGTGTACTCCTCTGTGCTGTAATCACACCCTCTACCACAATGGACATCTTGATCACCGTATTGCTTGTGTGACAATAGCCAAATCCGTGTCACTACTACACTACAATGTACGTAATTAATCCTCTCCTGCTAATCTAATTGTCTTCGGCATAATAATGTTATCTTTATACATTAATCCTATCCCCTCGGCTTCGTCATTATGTTGTTATCTTTGTAAAATATATTTAATACTCTATGCACTTACTATGCATTCACCTGATGAAGGAGCAAGAAGTAGTTCTGAAACGTCGTACAAAGAATAACAGAAATTGCTATTATAAAAAGTGTCATGTATTCATGTTCTCCCTACTTCTAACTGCCGATCAAAGACTTTATTTGCTTACTGATGTGTATGATCCTCTGCTGACAACCAGTGTCGTTGAGGCAGACTGAAAGAAATTCCCACATGAAGTATTATTTCGCTCGCGGGAAGTATCGATTTTCTATAAATATATATATATAATATTTCATCTCTAACTACATAATTAAAGGTCACATGCGATTTATGAATAATGTATTTAGTTGACAAAACGAATGTGCTTCTTGTGGTAATGTTCTAAGTTGTTTCTTAATTGCAAACAGAACAACCACAAATATCTACTGTGCCTTCAGTCCGAGAGACTTCATTAGTTTAATAAACACGAATCCTTTGGAGCAATTTGGATGAATGTGGCCTCCGTTGATTAGATATTTGTCAGCGACATTAGACTAGGACAACTTCTCTGTTCATTCTAGACCAACCTCAGCTCAAGAACAACTAACAACCTATAAATGAAATTAATTACCCCCATCAAAGACATATATACATGTGAATACGGCTTTGACCCCAGGAGACATGAAATATTGCTTTCGGTTGTGGTATGCAACATAGGCGATAGCTTTATTACGTCCCTTGATACGTTTCCATTTCCGTACCGTTTCGCCAATCTCCGTACGGTAGAAATGGCGTCGAACAAGAGAAAGCAAGATGAGAAACATCTCAAAATGTTACGGGAGATGGTGGCCCTACCCCACAATAAACAATGTTTCGACTGCCACCAGAGGGGCCCGACATATGTGGACATGACGATAGGATCGTTCGTTTGCACATCGTGCAGCGGAATCCTGTAAGTACCCCTAGTTGCCGGGAATGACACCGACTGTCTCCGGTAATCGATGGCTTGTGTAGCACGATTCCTACCGAAATGTCGCATTATAATTTACGGTTTCAATTTTTAATGTGAAAGGAATAGTATATATCAGGTTTTGTATCCGGCATACACTTTTATTATCGCCCAGTTGTTTTACTTTACCTCTTTCTGAGTAGAAACCGGCTTCTTCGTGTAGACAGTTAAGTGGTTTGTGTCCGCAGGCGTGTACCGGATAACTGTCAAACAAGGAAATAGACTTAACCCGTTGTTCCATCTTACAAGCGTAAACAGTCACGGAATGATGTGTTGAAAATGCATTGACATTGAACAGATAGAATGTGACTGCACTCTTACTTGCCCATTTGATATAAGATTGATTCTGATGTTATTCAATGAATTCATTTCTTTTTTAGAGGTCTGCAAACAGTTACTAAGTTCTGAGTTATTCATGCATTGAAAATACTTTGGGTTATGAAACATGAAACTTCATGTGAAGTAGTCAATATATAGGCCAATACACCAAACACTGTAGTTTACCAGGCGCAGCTTATAGCGCTAATTGGCTCCGGCTGTCAACTCTGGCTCTCACTTCACTGATCTCGCTGCCTTTTCAATTCCTAGTGTTAGTTGTGTAAGGGTAGTTTTCCCCCTACTCTATCCTCAGCCTTGGATCCCCATTACGATCATTAGGGTTAGATACTTCTTGCCAATAAAATACCCTTCACGATATTTAGGGTTGGACCTTCTTTGCCAATCAAACACCACTTTTAGACCTTTTCGATCATTTACCGCTCTACCTTCCTTGGGTTAGTTGTGAGTTTGGTTTAGTTATCACATCTCTTTTGATGAATTAATCCTGTCTAATTTGCAGTAAACCCATACAATTTGTTATCAAGTACTGATTTTTGGCCTGTTTTGACGATTGAACAAGTAGAATTTTGCAGTTTTAGTCCTCATAATAATGTGTTGGTTGTCCAGGGCCCCATCAATAATAACCTAAATAACTGAACTCCATACATTCCTAACATTGCTGATGAGCTTGTACATGTTCACTTATCCATTCACAGATAGTGTCAGCCCTGACCCCATGGCATGGGATAGGTTATCCTCTCTACCACAATGTTACAGACCCCAGAGCACATCGTCACCATAGTTACTGAGGCAATCATCCCCATCCCACTCTCGTCCCCTTCTCAGCTCTGGGTGAAAAAACTTGAGGATTCTTTTAGTAAATTCTATTTGAATAACCGTATACGTGGCTTTATTATATGTTAGTCTAGGTCTGTGTCTACTGGTAGGAATAGCCATTCTTGCCAACAGTTGATAAGTTTTCCAGACCCGGGTTAAATTTGATCTTCAGCAAACCAAACTTGACAGGCTCATTGACTTGGTTGATGCATGTTGTCGTATCCCAATTGTGTAGATCAATGCTTATGATGTCAATCATTGGATTGTCGTGGTCCAGATTAGATTATTTACACGCTGCCGTCATAAAGCTGGAATATTGCTGAGTGCATGTAAAGTATTTCAGTTGAGTCCCCTGCTCACATCTTACCATGTTGATGTCATGTTGTTTGTATTGTTGAATTTCAGAATTGGGGGGTAAATACTTGCTGTATGCAACTTTATCACCAGACATTTGACTTGATCTTACCTTACACATGAATGTCAGGCTCTGATTGCCTGAGACGTACACATTCTATTATTTTCAATGTACCCCTCTTACATGTAAAAGTACTGTTTATATTTGTTTATCATGTTTATCATGTTTATCATGTTTATAGCAGTGTTGGCATTACATGTGCAACATACCAGCTGCAACTTTGTATCTCAAGTGACCGCCTCCGCGGTCTAGTGGTAGAGCGTCCGCTCGGAGAGCGGTAGGTCTGGGGTTCGATCCCCAGCCGCATCATACCAAAAGATGTTAACAGATGGTACTTGTTACCCTGTCTGGTGCTCGGCATTAAGGGGCTAAAACAAGGACTGGTCGTCTCGGAGTCAGTATACTGTGTCTGAGTGGGGTATTCATGTTAAACTGCGGCATGGTATCTCAGTGAGCTAGCACTTTAAATCGGCATCAGTCCGGACTAGTACAAGCAGCCACACAAACACACACATGCACGTCGCTATATAAGGTAATAATCTTGGACGCGAAGTTAAACCCCATTTCACCTCACCTTGTATCTCAAGTTAAGGATATAAGACCATATGACCATATTGATATCATGAGCATAGATCCACGCAGTCGGGATCGATGAGATGCTCAAATTGCTGAGTTTAATTACGTATGGGGTAAGATAAATTTGTTGTGCACCGGTCCCATGGGTGACATCCCTCTATGTCTGTTTATGTTGTCCTTCTAAACTCGAGGAACTTTAACTAGCATAGAGGGGATGTCAACCCATGTCGCCCAGGGACCGTTGGACAACTTATAATTTTATGATACATTTGATAGTGTTAGCATGGTTAGGGATGTTTTTATAAATCTATACTTAGATGGGAAGCCAGCTTGCTCTAACAGCTTGGCATAACATTCCACACAAGGTAGTTCAAGGTGCCCATGTGTGAGTATGTTATGCCAGTTGGTTATGTGATCCAACATGTCTGCTAGTCATTTGGAACTATATTATAAGTGGGGCATTTCTCTCCTGTATTGTATTCCTACTCGTTTCTGAAAGTACTTTAGTAAATGAAAATGTGCCTCAGACTTTGATTATTTTAAGTATGACATTACTACCGGCATGTGTTTCTGTATCTTAAGTATCATATATTTGGAATAAGAAGTATATATTATGCTAGCCAAAGCAGACTTCGCTCTAGAAATCTTCTGACTTGGGCTCTTTATGTGAAAATTTCAAATATTCCAGAGGTACACCCACACTTGCCCCAACCAAGCCTACAGCACAATGTTAAAATGGTATTTGAAAATGTGGGCCTTTTTTTATATTTTGGGGCTAAAAGCACAAGGCCCTACCATAGAATTATCCCTGCCATAGGCTCCCACAATACACATGATACAATTTCATTGACACTCGGCTACTAATCACTGTTTGTTGGACATGGAAGCATGCTTAAACTTGATAATTTACTCCAGGATAAATTATAGTCATGATGTTGGTGATGATGATACTTGTGGACGAGCTATATTCATGATGTTTTGAGATATAATACATTGAGAACCTGACACAGACTGGATTGAAACCAGATACGGAAAAGAAATCACGTCCTACCACCCAGGGATAGAAATGTATTTGTTCCACTTCCAGGCATGTTACAGGACATTCTCACGGATATTTAGGTGTGCTAAACCTGCTAAAGTGAAGAATACTTTTCTATGAAAAATCTATTTGAAATTCTGATCATTAGTCATATTCATATGTTCGTCATCTTTAAGATATGTACCCCTGACTTCATGCTTGATCAGAGCTACAGATAAGCCGCGTGTTTGCGTAAAATACTCCCCCAAAATATTCAAAACCCAATTACTATAAATTAACTTGTGTACAGAAAAACATGCATTAAATGAAAAACTCAAATGTTTAAAAACAGCATGCGTAAATACCCAATGAAGCTTTTTCAGCATGCGTACAATAGAGCTGATTTCCGAAACAAAATTACGACCTAATTTACTTTCCGAGTCAAGCCTTTTGGTAGAGCCCTCTTATAATCTCAAAATGTTAGCTCATTTTGGGAAAAACCCAATAGAGTGATGAATAGATGGGTGAAAACATATTGGTTACCAAATGAAAAATGTAATAACCCAATTAAAATAGAAACCTTCAACTTCGAGTAAAAAGTCAATTGCTCAAAAGGTTATCTAGAGCTCTGTTTGATAAAGTATCAATTTATGACAATATCATCTGAGCATTCTATCTACAATTTATTGATCTATTTGAGAAGACATACACATTGTATTTTATCATTCATGTGTATATATTATTATAATAAGGTAATCATGGTGAAAACACCCCACACCTTTAATCCACAGACAAATCAGTGTCATGGCAGCAACTACCTTAGGCTCTGAATGTGATACAGAATCTGAATTACTTATTCATTAGAAAGTTCTAGATGGCATTACCTTGTTAACAAGCTGGCTGTTAATTAGATGCATAAATTAACATATATGTATATCAATGTACATGTATCATTGTATGTGTAATAATCTAACATGTTATGTCAGTGTATATACATACTAGAGGATACATTAACTGTGCTTCATATAACGTGATGTGTGTTATGTTATTGGAAATGACATAATAGTTGGTCTTTGGTCAATGTTTTGTCCTAACAAATTCCTAACAAACCCAAACCGGGTAACAGGAGACAGAGCGACACGCCATAAAAAAGAGATGGTGTGACAACTCAATTAACAATGGCAATATCGAGCGTGACCATTATTTGCGTTTATACAAGCGAGGCAGCTGCGATGCATTGAAGACACCAGATGACTGGAAACAGCCTGGGCTGGTTGTTCAAGATGTCAAAACATTGGCTCAACTGAGCTAGAGTTAATGCTGGTTCTGGTCCTGTTGTAGGCATCGTTCCATCTCATCCCTGTCATGTTCTATGGGGAAGAGGTCTTAAGAAACAGCCGGCCATGGCAGTACGGCAATGGTATGCTGCTTCAAAATGTCTGTTACAACACATGCAACATGTGGGCGGGCTTTATCTTGATGCACATAATGCACTAACCGAATGTTGTTGTCTTGTTGACATTACGTCACACGTGGACAACCGGCCCGTGGCAAGTCATGAGTGTTGCCCTGCTGTAGATAACGTCTCCACAGAGATGATATTGTGTATGATGAACATGGAAGTGTCTGGCAACTTTGTTTGTGCCATTCCTGTCTACATACCCCGCCATGTAGATGTTGATTGTCAGCAAGCCGTGGCATTGCGTGAGGGTTATTTACAGATCAACAAAGGTGTTTTATGAGCACCTGATACCTAAACAATCTGGGGGCACGGGTGGCCCAGTTGTCTTAGGCACTGTGATTCCCTGTGCAGAGTTGTGGGTTTGAATTCCGGTTCACCCCGATTATGTTTCCAGGTTTGTCAGCACCATACCCGTGCTCGTGGGTTTCACCAGAGTGGTAAACATCTAAGACCTGCATCACCTCGGGATTTCATCCCACATTAAGCTGGCACGCCGTGATATAACTTGAATACTGTTAAAATGGGCATTAAACCCAACTCACTCGCTCATCTAAACAATCAGAGTGAGCTGTTCACATTCGAAAAGCACGTGAATGAGTATCCTTTTCCCAACAAACACGCAAATATCCAAATTGTAGGCCGAGCATGAACATGCTCTTGAAAATTGTGAATCACCATCTCAAAGTCGAGAAGACATCTTGGTGAATTTGTTTTGAAAGATGCATTATTTAATTTCAGAATAAATATATTTTTTATTGAACTTTAGATGAAGCATAGTTACTTTTTTCTGTTAATATATTACTAACTGATGATTCTAATAGGACTTAGCTGAAACCGTATATTTGGCTCCAGATGATTTAGTTATAACAAGTACAGTCACTAAGTGGTGCTGTGATTGGACTAGAGACCTACCGTATTTCCTCTATTAGACGCCCGGGCTTCTATTTATTTCGGACAAGCCTTTGACCCGGTGTCAGTTAGAGGCCCGGCTTCTATTAATACCCCCATTTCACTTTGACCACGAATGTCCCAAATCGTCACGAAATGGAAATATTTTGTGTTTGTAGATATCCGTAGATATATCGCAATCAATTCTCGAAGTCCGTAGTTGAATCTTATTAGAGGCCCGGCTTCTATTTTTTGCACTGAACAATTGACCCGGCTTCTATTAGAGGCCCGGCGTCTAATAGAGGTAATACGGTACTCTTTCTAGTAGCTTTCAGCTTAGACTGTGGGAGGATCCAGCATTATGAGCTGCGAAGGAATCAAGAGTATTGTTTTGCTATCAGCATGATGAGGGTATAAGAACGACATGTTTATTAATCTTGTATGACTTTCTCATGTTTATTGATTACATTTTTAGTTTAGTTTAGACTCCAGACATGCAGAATAAGAATAATCTGGTCTTTGAAAGGCATTTAGCATGTTTAGAACTGATACACATAAGGAAGAGAATATATGGACGTCAACTTCTTTATTATTAGATGTTTCACCTGTTTATGACAATCGGTCAAGTATCCATGGAAACAGTTGTAGAATGTAGAAATGCCAACCATTATTTTTATCAAGGATTCATTGCAGTTTCTTGCACCAATTTATATACAGGTATTAAATTTTGTCAAAATATCTTCAGTAATTTTTACAGGATGTTAATTTTGCTAATAACTAAGTTAAGTTATTCTTTCCAAATTGAGCTACATCAAATTATTGCCTCCTTTGCCTCAGAAACTTTATACGTAGTGTTGCCAATAGTTAAAAAAAATCCAGCTTTGAAAAAACGGTTTTGGTTGACAATGTTTTTCCAATGCAATGTGGGTGATACAGAGTTATGTCCCATGCAGTCAGTCATGCCAAGCTCCTCACAGCGATATCCCGGTCGGTCGCGGAGCTCTCTATACTATCGCTGCCACCAGTCAAAACTCCCCACTGTCATATATGACTACATGCTTGAAGTTGAACTCGCAGCCGATTGACCGTTATATTTACTAACACGTGACGACTGTCGTGGCACTGAATACACTTACCCCTGCTAAATTACTTTCTTTGTTTGTCAATTTGAATTTCTATTTCATTAAAACTATCATGTTATTTATATTGTAAGAATGTAAGGGAGAAGTTGGTTGATTTTCCGGTTAGTCTGCAATCTCGAACCAATCTGATTATACAAACAACAAAGTAAATTCATCTGGAAAACATGGTCAGTAGTAAACGTTTTCAAAATGAATGATGGCATTCCCAAACATGTAAACAAAAGTATGAATGTGACTACATGTGGGGTTAGAGGGCAAATTTCAAGATTCTTGTAATGGCCGCGCCCACACTAGTGGCAGCGATGTTACTGAGAGTGTAACGAATGTGTCATGCGCTGGGAAGGAGCTTGCTTTCATGCTAGTGATCACCAAATCCAATTGTTTCTGTAAAATGTCTTGTTCAGATCCCAAGTCTGCAAAATATTCCTGAAATTGCCACAGTGAATGGATAGTACAACAGTGCCATGGTGACATCTACATAACTATGTTGTGAGATGGTGGTTACAAGACGGACTCAAAACTGGTCCTAATATTTGATCACTGCCACAGACTACCATATTTAATTAACTTGCATGTACAGATGTAATGTATAACTCACTCAGAGTTGACCATGTTTATTTACTTGTTTCAAGTTTATGGTGCCACGATTTGTTGGGCAGAGTTGTGGCCCTTGGGTGTGCCAAGATGCCATGGGTTTGTGTATCAAATTCACCCTGATTATGACCCTTGGTTTGTCAGCTCCATTCCCTGGTTTGTGAAAGTCTACGACACCCTTCACTTTGGGCTTCTTGTGTAAGTGAGAGTTTTCATATGCACAAGTAGAGGTATTGTGCTTTCTGAAACGATAAGGGGCGGTCGGGTAGCCTAGTGGTTTAAGCATTCGCTCGGACACCTGGGTTTGATTCACGACATGGGTACAATGTGTGAAGCCCATTTCTGGTGTCCCCGCCGTGATATTGCTGGAATATTGCTAAAAGCGGCGTAAAACCAAACTCACTCACTCACTCACATTCTGAAACACCCTTATCATCATGTGACCCTTTGAATAAACTTCCAGTTGATTGTAACTTGACCTCCACAACTACCTGTGTTGAAAGTAAATGGTTTGGCATGAATTAGTATGTATGTAAGGCTATATGACACCTGTGGACTGAATAATGACAACATTGAGAAATGTGTAAATAACTAATTCGTTACCATAGTTACCATAAGTCCATATTCAGTGTGGTTGTAAGTTTATTTCTAGGAGTGAAATAAATAGAAGGTGAGATATTCGTCCCTACCAACTCATCCTTCAGAACACCTTAGATATTGGCTGGCCTTCTTGTTGTGCAGAGTTGTATCCCTTTAACACACCAGGATCATATGATAATGGGTTGGAGACCAAACTTGGCATTATTTTCAGTAGATTTTAGTGTTAGTACATGAACTATAATTACCTGAGCTTCCTGCATGCACAAGACACAAGAAAATATTGCTAGACTCGGGCTGCGGGGTAGTGGGTAGAGTCACAGCAGGTACGGCTGGAGAGATGGCTTGTTCTGGAACAGAGCAAAGTACATAAACAAGATGCCTCTTATTTTTCAAAGTACATAGATATTATTTGATGGATTGTGTTAATTTTGCCGAAGGCCGGCGGGACTGACCATTATATATTTGGAAGAGTGGGAGTGGTAAGAGAGAGGGAATATTTAAAAAACAATATCTGCTCCGTAAATGTTTCCATCGTCCCTAAGGCGTTCACTTGTCCTGTTGAATGTTCTGGAAAACAATCTGTTGTGGCCCCCCCCCCTCCCCTTTCAGCGAACGAAATTGAAAAATGTTTTGTTTTTTAAGTGGTTTTTGAAAATAATAGTTTGTTTCAAACAAAATCATCCTATAAGTTTAGATTATCGGATCTGTAAGTGTAGTTATTATTGGAGCTAAATAAGAGCTGATACACTTGACAGTCTGTGTTAATGATGGTGCTGCTGTCGGTAAGTCGACGCGTTGGATAGACAGCTGTGCACTACAGCAGACACTGCAAGGGGAGATAACTCCACACCGTACTCTGTGTCAGCAGAGACACGTAGTATTGCGTAATATATCACGTAATATGGTCCACTAGTGCAAATGTCAAATATACAGTATATATTAAATGTCATGTACAATCTGATATACTAGTTTCACAAATTGAACCACAAAGTTGAAGCGCTAATAGCGTTCATCAGTTTGCTGGTCTTGTAGACAGACGCACTTATCACGGTGTCACTCCTTTGATGGCAAGTAAGGCCACTCCAATTAACGATCCTGTTTTGCGGGAGTAGGGATAAAAAGTCCAATTCTGTTTGATGACTACATCCTTTTGTTGAATAACTTTTGTGAGTGTTTTTCTTGCGTCTATCTTTTTGAAAATGTACATCACCGACACCATTCATTTGTTTGGTTATTTAATTTTGCTAGTTGTAATGATATTAAACTAGTAGTAGATGGTATTATACTTGTAGTAGATGGTATTATACTTGTAGTAGATGGTATTATAGTTGTAGTAGATGGTATTATACTTGTAGTAGATGGTATTATACTTGTGGTAGATGGTATTATACTTGTAGTAGATGGTATTTTGTCATCCAAAACTGGCTCCCACAGGAGATATCCCTTGGGTGGGATCAAGCAATATCTACATTGTATACATCACTGCAATGAAATTGCATCACAAGGCTTTGCAGACCATTGTGACGTCATTGGTTACCATGACGTCACAATCAAATGACATCACTAATGGCTCTGCTACTGAAGCTGTTAGCAGTACTTTTTACACTTAAGACACTGCTTATTACAGTCTACAAACTGAAAAAGTTGGAAGAATGATATTGGTTGATTAATAAAATCTCGCCCTCATGTCGTTTGATCATGTTGATATAAACTATATCAACATTCGTTGATATATTTGATATCAAAAGACACTGGAGTGAGATTCTCTATATACTGGTAGTGATTGGTGTTATTACACTATTAAAGGACACAGGGTTAGAAATTAACGCTAGCCCGCTAGCCTGGGGCTAGTACAAATTCCTGTGGGCTAATACAAATTTCCCCATTGTTGTAACATTACAAGGGTATTTTATCCTTACTCTGGCTAGTAAAGCTCTTCAGTTTAGTTGTAACCCTGAGGGTGTTTGAGCATGGAGAGCTTGGCCCGAGTTTACACATCACTATGCACTTTTGATACGAGTATCATCCTGATCAGGTTACAGTATGTTCACTGTATAAGTTGCTGTATAATGGATGAGGGAGGAAGTGGTGGGATGCATGAATTATGCAGCTGATGGTGGGACCAGCAATAGCAGCAGCAGCAGCAGCCCAGCTGTGGTTTGTGGACATCAATACGGCACACCCAACACCGAGCACGGTGAAACACGACAGGGCTACAAGGGGACTGGGATAGTTACAGATGCAACAGGGTTAGAAACTGGCACTAGTCCTATAGTCCTTGCCAAGCTGCCCAATAGTTAAGGTGTCATAAGGACTAGTAGAGATTTGCCCTTTTTAGGGGTATTACTTTATGTTATCATTATAAGGACTAGAGGGTAGAATAAGTCTTCAGCAACCCATGCTTGCCGTAAAAGGCGACTATGCTTGTCGTAAGAGGCCACTAACGGGATCGGTAGGTCAGACTCACTGACTTGGTTGATGCATGTCATTGTATGCCAAATGCGTGGATCGATGCTCATGATGTCAATCACTGGATTGTCTGGTCCAGACTCGATTATTAACAGACCGCTGCCATATTGCTGGAATATTGCTGAGTGTGGCGTTACATAACAAACAAACTAGTGGGCTAAAACTGTTAGTTTCTACCGATGTGCAGTCATGGTTGTCATGGCTACTGTTCGTATTTTGATTCATTTTGGAATTAAGAATTGAGGTAGGCAAAGAATATTATGCAGGGGATAATATTTTGTAGTTTGTAGTGTGTACATGGGAAATATATTTTGTTACACACAAATGCAAGTTTTAGAGTGATTGTGCTGATTACTGGTTGTCAGGGGCAACTGGAACTCATGGGGGAAATCCCGAAGAAGTAATGGGCTGATTTGGCCCTGAGTCAAATAATTGTCATAAAAGATTACCAAATGGAATTGAAAAGTTGAATGTAAGTGGCAATTTAAATATTGTTAAAAGTTTGATTAAACCATTGCAGTTTTGTTGAGGTGACTTGGTTTCCACTGATAACAGAACCCAAATTATTGTATCATATTATTTTTTTAATAATCCCAATTTTTGTAAAAAAACAAAACAAAAACAATTTTTTTCCCATACTTGCCTACCAGACCCCTTCGTTTGGAATCGGGGATAAATGTTGCGGTGTTCAAATACTAAATTTGTAAACTCACAAGTTCTACGTGCCCAGCCTGATTTTCAACTTGCCCTGCTATATTTAGAGAAAAGAAGAAAGCAACAGTAGTTTATCAACCTGAAGCAACAGTTAATGGAAGATGTGCAGAATAGAAAAATGACTTGTCAGGCATGTCATCTGCAGTTGACAACCACACGATGAATCTTCTCAGTTTTGAAGTTAATACGGCCAGTTTTCATAGTTTCATACAACTAAGTTATATTTTCCCACTTGCCTAGCATTATATTTTCACGAGTCAGACAAGTCAGGCATATTTGAACACTCCTGGACTTATAAGATGATCATGTGACCTAGTGTTTTCTAGTCAGTTATAGGGCGGTTGGGTAGTCTAGTGGTTAAAGCATTCGCTCGCCACGCCGAAGACCCAAGTTCGATTCCCGACATGGGCACAATGTGTGAAGCCCATTTCTGGTGTCCCTTGCCGTGATATTGCTGGATTATTGCTAAAAGCGGTATACCACCATACTCTCTCTCTCTCTCTCTCTCTCACTCACTCACTCACTCACTCACTCACTCACTCACTCACTCACTCACGCACGCACGCACTCACTCACTCACTCACTCACTCACTCACTCACTCACGCAAAATCTAAATGTAAATCTAAAAATTAATTTATTATGGCCTACGTGAGATAGGCATTGTTATAAGGCATTCAGATATTGATGTTATCAGTAACCGATATGAGTGGACTGTGTGGTATGCAGGCAATGTGTAGTCAATGACTTGCTACCATCCCTTGCTTGTCAACACAGTCAGTCCAAATTCAAAAGAACTCAAGTCAACACCTATATTGTCTATTGTTTTTCAGGCTTAGATAGCATACAAACTAATTTCTACCGATTTTTGTAGTAAATATGCCATGATGTGTCAAATATATATTTCCTTTTCTTTTAACCTGTTTAAAAGTTGTTTACTTACTGAAATTAGCTGACAGACAGTTTGCAGGATAGCGAAACTTCAAAAACCAAGAAATTAAGATTTTTATAATATACCTTTGCTTGTAAACATGGCTAAGATTCAGAACATATGAGCCAATGCATGAGTGGGTAAATATTGCTTTGACATGCTTTGGAAATGAAGCATTTGTTGCCATGGCCCAATGAATGAGAAAACTTCAATGAAGTCAAAAATCTAAGTTAATTTTGATCTAACTTATGTTATGAGACTGAAGGTTATGGTTGAGGCATCCACCCAGTCAATGTAAACTAACAATATATGGGATACAAGTGGTCCAAGGTGCTGCATAGCTGCCTCCCTTAGCCTTCCCAGGATCTGTTTTCTGAATCCTAAATACAACTCACAACAGTAGCCGAAAATTGAGCATGAAAGTCAAAGAGGTCCTTGTCATAAGCCTGATGTTAAAAGTTAAAGATTTTTGGGGTCCCTGGATTAAGACGATAGCAGCAAATTCCAGGATGCAGGACACCTCTTAATTTAGAACATTGCACGATATGATCCTTGTGTGAAGTGACCATACTCATGCATATGGATTTCACAAAAGTCCTAAGCGACCTCTTTTAGCAATATCTATCACACTCACTCACTCACTCACTCACTCACTCACTCACTCACTCACTCACTCACTCACTCACTCACTCACTCACTCACTCACCCACCCACCCACCCACCCACCCACTCACTCACTCACTCACTCACTCACTCACTCACTCACTGACCCACCCACCCACCCACCCATCCACTCACTCACTCACTCACTCACTCACTCACTCACTCACTCACTCACCCACCCACTCACCTAGTTCACAACTCTGTCACCCACATGTCAGCTCCATGCTGCTTGTGATTGACAGCTTGACCCACATCTATGACACGTGTACATTGTCAGTGACCTAGAGCCTCACTATGTAACCTGGCCCGCCTGATAACAGCTCATCAGTAAACAAGTCTATTGTGTTGGTTGTGTAACCGTGTTGTTAGACATTCCCTTCATCACTTGATCATGCCAGCTGCAGCATCTTTCATCTGAGCCAACTTTAGCAATAAACAACCACCTACCAACCATTGCCATCAGGCTTGGACATCTGTAGCGTAGGTGGGGAGGGGGGGCGGGCCCAAGTTGCCACACCTCGCTGTTCAGTCAGTCCCCTGGGGAGGGGGGGAGGGGGGTCGGGCCTAAGTTGCCACACATCACTGTTCAGTCAGTCCCCTGGGGAGGGAGGGGGGTGGGCCCAAGTTGCCACACATCACTTTTCAGTCAGTCCCCTGGGGAGGGGGGGGGCGGGGAGGGGGGGCGGGCCCAAGTTGCCACACCTCGCTGTTCAGTCAGTCCCCTGGGGAGGGGGGGGCGAGGAGGGGGGTCGGGCCCAAGTTGCCACACATCACTGTTCAGTCAGTCCCCTAGGAGTGCCAGAAGCACGTGATCGTGTGTTGTAATCCCCTGATTATCTTCCTAGGTTTGTCAGCACCCTACTAAGGTGGTATTGCGTCCCTTGGGCACGCCAGAAACCTATGATTGTGGGTTCGAATATCACTCACTCACTCACTCACTAAGGTGGTAAACTTGCACGACCTGGATCACATTGGCTGACATGTCGTGATACAACTAAAATAATATTCAAAGCCTTGTTAAACCAAAGTTGGAAGAATGATGTTGGATGATAAATAATATCTCACCCGAGTGTCTTTTGATATAAAATATATCAAAATGAGTTGATAAAAGAGGAAAAACTCAGAGAGGAGTTTTCCCACTTTTATCAACTCATTTTGATATATTTTATATCAAAAGACACTAGGGGGAGATATTATTTATCATCCAACATCATTCTTCCAACTTTTTCAATTTGTAGACAGTAATAAGCAGTGTCTTAAGTGTAAAACGTACTGCAAACAGCTTCAGTAGCAGAGCTATCAGTGATGTCATTTGATTGTGATGTCATGTCATGGTAACCAATGACGTCACAGTGGTCTGCAAAGCATTGTGATGCAATTTTATTGCAGCGATATCATCTCACACAAGCGATTTTTCCTGTGGGAGCCAGTTTTAGATGATAAATGACCCTAATGACCCTTGTTTGTTAAATAAGAGGCAGGTGCTTATGAGAGACTCAGTGCTTGTTTGTTTAATAAGAGGCAGGTGCTTATGAGAGACTCGGTGCTTGTTTGTTAAATAAGAGGCAGGTGCTTATGAGAGACTCTGTGCTTGTTTGTTAAATAAGAGGCAGGTGTTTATGAGAGACTCGGTGCTTGTTTGTTAAATTAGAGGCAGGTGCTTATGAGAGACTCGGTGCTTGTTTGTTAAATAAGAGGCAGGTGCTTATGAGAGACTCAGTGCTTGTTTGTTAAATAAGAGGCAGGTGTTTATGAGAGACTCAGTGCTTGTTTGTTATATAAGAGGCAGGTGCTTGTTATATAAGAGGCAGGTGCTTATGAGGCTCAGTGCTTGTTTGTTATATAAGAGGCAGGTGCTTATTAGAGACTTAGTGCTTGTTTGTTATATAAGAGGCAGGTGCTTATGAGGCTCAGTGCTTTGAGGAAATACATTATACTGCCCTCTGCAACCATGATGACATTTGTCTGTGTTTCCAGACGAGGCCTGAACCCTCCTCACCGGGTCAAGTCCATCTCGATGGCCAGCTTCTCTGTGGACGAAATGGATTTCCTCAAGTGTCATGGGAATGAGGTGAGACCGCCATCTTGTGTGACAGTGTGTGACAGTGTGTGACAGTGTGTGACAGTGTGTCAGTGTGTGACGGGGACAACTACTGTATTCCACGTAATAAGTGCCCCACTCTAATAAGCACCCACAATGTAATTTGCTAATTTATTGGCTACTGAACAATCCCAATTAGCATCCCTTCCGATTGTTCAATGTACACAAGACGTATTTATTTGCATATCATACACACTCGTGTGTTATATGCACCCTTAATTATGGGCAATTAAATTCTGGAAAAATATATCTGTCGTACGTAAACATTTCAGGCTTTCAGCATATACCACGAAATTCATCTTTCAACTCTGTTTTTTTTCGCCAAAATAATATTCTAATAAGAGCCCCCTATTTCTAATTTTGAGAGTACCCTGGGTGCTTATAACGTCGAATACGGTATATCATACAACACCAACACAACAATTATAGTGTGCTTGGGGTTGGTGTTCTGGTGTCCTGTAGAATTTGAATCTGCAGCAGGTTTCAGATTGTTTCATTTTCTAGGACATCTACTGATTGTCATCCAAAATAGGATAGGTCCCCAGCAACCTATGCCGGTCATAAGAGGGGACTGGGGATTCTGGGTGAGAATAGGTCCCCAGCAACCTATGCTGGTCATGAGAGGTCCCCCCTGGGGATTCCGGGTTAGAATAGGTCCCCAGCAACCTATGCTGGCATGAGAGGTCCCCCCTAGGGATTCTGGGTGAGAATAGGTCCCCAGCAACCTATGCCGGTCATAAGAGGGGACTGGGGATTCTGGGTGAGAATAGGTCCCCAGCAACCTATGCTGGTCATGAGAGGTCCCCCCTGGGGATTCCGGGTTAGAATAGGTCCCCAGCAACCTATGCTGGCATGAGAGGTCCCCCCTAGGGATTCTGGGTTAGAATAGGTCCCCAGCAACCTATGCTGGTCATGAGAGGTCCCCCTGTGGATTCTGGTTGAGAATAGGTCCCCAGCAACCTATGCTGGTCATGAGAGGTCCCCCTAGGGATTCCGGGTTAGAATAGGTCCCCAGCAACCTATGCTGGTCATGATAGGTGTCCGAATGAATTGGGGGATCAGACTTGGTGACTTTGTTGATGTGTCAATACTGATGTACTCCTGTGTGTTGCGTGGGTGTCCATCGACTCTTCCAGAAGCTCTGCACACATGTGTTCTAGACCTGCACAGATGCATCAGCTCATGGGCTGGTATTGTTACCAGGCCGACTCTGCCGCACTCGTCCCAGTAGTGTGTGCAGTCAACAGGGTCATGGCACATGTAAGTCTACTTGTTGTTTTCAAAACACGTGTGCTGGTGATAGCCTAGTTTGGATGACTGCGTAGAAGCTAGACAGAAAACAATGGATGTTGTTTACAAATACTTCGGTCCTAACAGGTTACACTGTTGTTTCTTGGTACGCGTATACACATAACAATAACAATAAAAATGTATCAGGCTGCAACAAATTGATTATTTGTTATACTATCTTCTCAACATTTTAATATCATTTTCACACAACATGGTCTACCTCTCCCTAGCTACAACGGAGTCAACTTTAATTTTAAAAACCTTTGAGTGAAAAATACAGCCTTCTGTCTCAATATGGTTTTGTTAAAGAGAATTTACTCATATCATTGTTAAGAAAACATTGTATTTTATGATTTGTATTTTGATAAACTTGAAATGGCCACTGCAGCAGCTCATTTACAGCTCATATTTGTTATAGTTTGACGATTCTATGTCAACACGTAGTTCTCGCGATCACGCGATCACGCGATCACGTGCGTGGGTGCCTTGACAGTGACTGGTCAGACTGGTTCCATGTGAAAAATAATAACCGGCTATAGCGATCAGCTACTTCGCTTAAGGTTATTATCATTTTAAATATGTTTAGTAAAAGCTGCAACTAAATTAACAAGATATTGGAATATATTATTCCTGATAAAAAAATAGTTTCAGATACAATTTTTGCCGATTCTTGCATTAAAATCCTGTAAAGTTATATCATTGGGTGTGTCTTGACTGAATCACTGGTAGATTCCAAGAAAACGTGTGTACAGCTGATTGCTGTGTCCGGCTTAGTTTACGAGAAAATACACAAGGTAATCTTAATTCCTGGATGGAAAACAATGCCTAGCAGAACAAAAAATACAATTTAAACGGTCTGGTGATTTTTTAATCTTAAATTTCGAATTTGTACTGACCAAGTTTCTCATCACCCGTTCGTTTACCGGAATTTGCTGAAGGGGTAGATCTATGGTGTAATTTTTTTCTGTGCTTGATAACCAATTTTTTTTTTCTTCCAAAATACTGAATCCGCTAGAGGGGAGTGCGCATTATACATGGGTGTGCACTATACTCACGAAAATACGGCAGTGAAAAACATAGCCTTCAGACCAATCTTTATTTTTATACATGTGAAAATATTAGAATGAATAGAATCCATACTTATTTGTTAGTGTAAGATACACATTGTTTTCAAAGGTGTTCCCTACCATACCCAAACAGTTTTCTGAGCTTTTCTCAAAACCAATAATTTAATTAGACACAAACTATTCTAAATCTATTGACAGAGATTTTTTAAACATGGTTTAAAAGGAAGTGTGAGTACACAAGTACATTGATATTACAGAAAATCGCGACTGGATGTTGCGTCTACTTTGTAGCGCAATTGACAGTGTAGAGGACACTGGAAGATAGCAATACATCATCAATATTGGACATAACGCCAATCACATTGAGTAAATGTTCACATTTATTTTAATTAATACATATATTGCATCCTTATTGTTTGTTGCCAGGGCAACAGGTGAACTTGCTTGCCTACACTATTTGTGATTATTATGTGTTGTGAAGTTGGGACTACTTTTGTGAATTCATGCCATTTCTGCCATAATCCCAAATCTCCAACCTCGTAAAGATATTTTTGGTCTACTGAGGCCAGATTGTTTTGGGGGTGGGGAGGGGTACTGATTTTTGGCCAATAAATTTATGTGGATAGGTGGGAGGAAAAAAAATAATTCAATTTCAAATATATTTTTGCATTTCCTCAATATCTTAAAGTCCGTATGATACAAAAATTTGGGTCGGGAAATCTTTAGATATATTTTCAACAGGTTTCTATTAATTAAAGTATTTTGAATAATTTATTAAATTGATAGAGACAGTAAATGAGTTTAACATTTTACTTATTTCTGTTCAAAGGAATAAAAAAAAAATGCTTTTCTTTTGTGTTTGTCACATTTCATTTTCGGTGGAAAGTCGGCAGATTTGGCCTAAGCACATGAGTGAAGACTCCGATCTAGGGACAGACACTGATAAACAAGTTCTCACTCATGAACGCAAATGTTTCTGTCACAGGTTATATTTGGTATTCTACTTTGAATATTAAGAATATTATGATATTGGTTAGACAGACATTTCAAATAAAGATTTAAAAATACTTTTTTAAGAACCCAAACTTGTCTGTTTCTAGCAATAACATCACTGATGCTCACATGTCATCAGCTGGTCATAGCAGCAGGGGGTCTCTATAGTTGTCAGTAGGCTGTCGCAATTACTGATTACTTCAACATGGTGAACATACGGTATTGTCAGTGTAGAGTTAGGCTAGATTTTATAGCTTTGTACTTGCATCTAACGTTATGTGTCTGAGGGTATTGTCTTTTGGAATCATTGATGCAGACTTAAGACAAAGCTGCTTTATTTTTTGCATAAAGTTAACAAGTAAATCATCATAGCCCAATTAATTTTGAGTTGCTTGTTTACGAATATGCCTGAAAAATTTAAAAATAGAAAATAGTACAAGACGTAATTACTCTTTTCGGCTTGTATACCCAGATATCTTTACAAATCGTTTTTTATGATTGTTTCTCAGCATCACCTGTACCATGAATGCTGCAGTGAATAATGCAAAAAAGAGCTGAATCGTGATTATTATAACTGAGACATATATTATGCTGTAGCCTAAAGCAGCACATAAACAGAAGGAAATTAGAAGTTACCTGAAACAGCATTGTAAGCAGAATATTTTTAATTTTTAAAAAGAACATTTTATTTAAACTTTATGCAACAAACTGGACCCAAGAGAGTAAAATATATTGACTTCCCAGAGAAATCCATGAAATATGTTATGTGAACGATAACATGTGAAGAAATGTTGGGGTTGGCCTGAAAGAAGGACGTCAACACAATTAGTTATCACAGGGACCCTGACACCAATACTGAGTTGTGATCTGACTGGATGCTGATCATAAGCACAGTGTGTGCACCGAGGAAGTGGGCTTCACGGATCTCAGTCAATGGGTCAGTGGATCGGAGCTTGTTGTGATGTGATGCCGCGATGATGATGATGATGATGATGATGATGGATGATGATGATGATGATGATGACGATGGTGATGATGATGACGATGGTGATGATGATGATGGTGATGATAGTGATGATGATGATGATGATGCTGACAGCGACGATGACAGCGATGATGATGATGATAGTAACAACGGCGACGATGATGATAATGATGATGATGATGATCTCAAAGACCTGAAAAGGCATTGAAAATGGATAATGGGTCTTGAAACATTTTGAAATTTGCCTAGCCAAATCTCAAATGAACTGGCGTAAAATAAATATATCTTTTCTAGTTTGAAAACAACAATCTTTTGAAATGTTTCAAACTGTTAGAAGAATACAACTTGTATGCGACCTTCGTGATCCCAGTTGTTATGCCCCGCCCTTGTTTTGAGTGGGGTATTCAAACGGACACTGTCAGTCCGTGTGTCCATGCGCCCATACATCTGTGTGACCCATCGTTTCCAGAGCCGATCTTGGAAACCATACAGTATTTCTTCACCAGACTTGGCACATAGATTGGTCTTGTGGTGAAATGGTACTTTTTGATAGTTTGTGATTTAAAAAAAATTGTTTTTCCATGTCAACAACTTTGACTCAGACTGAAAATGGCAGTAGTGCTCGTTTCCAGTGC